ATATATATATATATATATATATATCAATAAGGTTTTAATAGCTTGTAAAAAAAATATTTTAATAGAGTTGGTCGTAATTAAGTTTTTTAAATATATTGTCAAGTTCAATCTTTAAATTATGTATGAAAAAAATTGTTAGAGTTAAATTCTTTAAGACAAATTAATATTAATAATTAAATTAACTAATTTTTAATAAAAAATAATTAACTGAATTTTATACAATGATATATGTAGTAATGTGTACAAACCTTTATCTCCATTGTAACTTAAGCGGATAAAAAAAACGTAGTAATAGATAGATTCCAAAACATCCTTTGCAAATTTCATTTCTCTGCAACAAACAGAATGCGACTTGCATTTAAAATTCTGAATTCAGCTTAGAATCCATTGAATTCTTCTCATCACATAGACTAACAACCTTAGCAAGCCGATTCGAAGAAAGTGAATGAGTTTAGATATCAGGTATGTGATGTCACTCCTGTTGAGTTGATTGAAGAAAGACAAGAGCTGCAAAATGGGGACGCCTTTGTTCCATGAATTTAAAAGACAAGCTTCTTTCTTCCTCAAGGAAAAATTCAACTCTGCTAGATTAGCTCTCACCGATGTTACCCCTGCACAACTGTAAGTTTCTCTCTTTAGTTTTATGATTCCATCATAAGATTTTAGATTTTTAATTAATCTTAAGTGTGTTTCACAGCCAAACCACCTCTACCATGTATAATATTTAGTTATTTTTTGGTTTTTTACTATCTGCAGGATGACAGAAGAAGCTACAAAAGGAAATCCATGGGCCCCAGATTCCCCAACACTTGGATCAATTTCAAGGGCTGCTTTTGAGCTTGATGATTATTGGAGGATTGTAGAGATTCTACACAAAAGGTGTTTGTTTCTGCATCTTTTTTCTTCTTTAGAATGCATGTCACCTTGTTTGGTAGCAAAAGACTTTTGTTGTTGTTGTTCTTATTGATGCTTGCCACCTATATGTTAATCATCTGATCAAAGATGAATGGATGGAATAATTCTAAAGCAGACTCCTTAAATTCGACAACAAGAATTGGAGGGCCTCCTACAATTCTCTGATTGTGCTGGAGCACCTACTGACTCATGGACCGGAAAGTGTTGCAGAGGAATTTAAGAGCGACAAAGATGTAATCAGCCAAATGAAATGCTTTCAGCATATTGATGGCAGTGGGTAAGTTTTCACTTTTCATTAATTTTTTCTTCTTGAAACTGGTGCCTGTCAAATTCTAGATGAATTTCGTTAGATCGGAGATACAATGTAGAAGTTTTCTATAGCATGATCCATAATAATAGATTGACAATAATTATTTTAAAATTTATATAGGGAGTGATGATACAAGACATATAAAAGCATGTTTGATTACAAATTTAGAAGGATTTTTTAAAATTTCTCTGAAGAAAAAAATTCTTTATTTTTGATAAAAAAAATTCCAAAAAGTCATTCTAAATTTTGTATCTAAATAGGTTCTAAATCTCATTCTAGCCGGTGATTAATGAGGTATTTGTGATGCAGGTTCAACTGGGGTCTAACTGTTAGAAAGAAATCAGAACGGATATTGAAACTGCTTGAAGAAGGAACTCTCCTCAGGGAAGAAAGAAACCGTGCTCGGAGGTTGTCCAGAGGAATTCAAGGTTTTGGAAGTTTCAGCCAGCGGTCAACTCATGCACAAGGCGTTCTGAGGGAAAAATCATTGCCAACCACATTTGACAGATGCAACTCTGACTTCAACAACAATGAAAGTCAGGAAAACGAGTCCTTTTGTTCAAACCATTATTTGGGCACAGCAGCAGTTAAATCTCCTAGTTCTAGCCATCAGGGTGAAATTTTCAAGTCACAAGATGATATTGTAGAAACTGAGAGCAACAGGGATGATCAGGGAAACAATCAAATGCATCAGAAATCTGAAACAAGCTCTAAAGAAAATAAGACACCTAGAAAGGAGGAATTCCATCTATGGAACTTGAAAGGGGAATCCAATCCACTTTTGGATGGTAGCCAAGAGGATGATTCTAAAATTGGGATATTCGTAGCCGAAGATGATCACCCCTTTAACTCCACAGAAATGCATACCACTTTTTCCCTTCTTTCTTCCAGATGAAGTTAAAGACTTAAAGGCAACAGAGTGTATTGGACTTCTTGTGCAGAAAATTATTCCAATCAAGGTTTTATGCTATATGCATTTATGTATACGGGTTACCTTTGTTTCCTCCTACAATTTTCCTCCAGAGGACAAATCTTTTGTAGTGGAAGTGTGGAACTAGAACCAAGTATATTGGAATGCATCCATCTGTATACTTATAAAGCACATATATTCTACCCCATGCAACCGCTGTGTAGCTTATTACAAAGCTTCTTTGCATTTTGATCCTGATTATGCGAAGTTAAGTCAGACGCCCTACAAAAGATATCCTATCTTTTTAAGTTTGACTTTGCCTAGCTAACCTTGCTTATTTTGCACAATGACAGCTTATTTGTTATTATGTGCCAAGGATTTACATAACTTGTAAGTGCACGATTCCAAAAAACTTACTCAGATTTCTAATGTGTTATAAGATTAAAAGCATCTAGAGTCAACACTAATTTCCGAAGAAATTTTTATAAGCTTCAATGATTTTCCGATGGCAATTCTGAATATACAATCAGTCAATTTGATAGAATCGGAAGTGATCCAGAAAACCACAACGAACAGCAAAACAACTAGCATTGTATCATTTAACGCTTAACAATGGTGAAGCTGCAGGACATTAAAAAAATGCAGTGCAAAAAATAGAATATACAAATATTTGTTTACATAAATAAAAGGCTAATTGTTCCTTTTGCCCCCTCAAATATGAGACCAGAGTCAGTTTAATCCCATCACATTTAGAACCATAATCATGACTGTCCATTACTTTCTTGGCTGGAATTTTTTGCCAAGTTACAATCTTCGTATTTCTCTGTCTACTTGAATGGCGTAGGCTGGGATCAAACAATGTTTCGTGGGATACAAAATAAATTTACAACCATACGCTCACGCACAAAAGAAAAGGATAGAAAAAATCATGGGACTTAAACGAAATTGGCCCCAAAATAATGAGGACAAAAAAGAGCACTTTAGCCCAAATGAATAAAAGAAGCTTTTAAGATTTGCAAAGCCAATCTTGGATGGCAAGTCGAAGTGCGTGATTGGGAGTAAGAAACAGGTGACTCAATTTCAAATTAGTCATTGGAGAAGTAACATGTCCATTTTCCAACCATTCACGTATGGCATCCCCTTCATAGGTAAATCCGTCTGCCGCAACTTGGGGATCGTGCATTATTTCCTGAAGAAGAAATCCAAAATAAACATGAGCAAAATGGAATACATAACTATCTTTGCAAAAAGAAAAAATGGGTCAAAAAGAAATTTTTGGTGATTCGTTGGGTCTGTTAGGGCCTACAAAACCAAGTTATGTACATGATTTATTATTTATAAAAAATCAGTTACCTGAAGGATTGGACATAAGAAAAAAGATGGAACTGGTCGCTCTTCTGAAGCATGCAACTGCTCCAATTCTTTCACTAGTGTAGGGGTTAACTCGGGTCTGTCTCTCCGATTTTGTTGACAGCATTGCAATCCCAGTTCAACCAATCGCATTGCCACAGCTGAGGGCCATTCTCCAGCTGAAGAATCCAGAATTGAAGACAATTTTCCACATGAAGCTGCATTACGTACTAAAATTGCTAATCCAATTGGATTCCTACCAGTGAGCAATTGTAAAATGATGAGACCGAAGGAGTAGATGTCAGACTTGGTTGTTAGTATTCCAGTTCTCTGAAACTCTGGATCCATATATGTGAAAGCACCCTTTGGTTCAGTGCTCAAGCGGAAACTAGGACGGAGGAGAGATTCCTCACTCACCAGCCTGCAGAACCCAAATCCACACATCTTGCAACCAAGTGAAGAATCAAGTAGCACAGTCTCTGGCTTCAGATCACCATGGACAATAGCTTCAGGTTTACAAGAATGTAGGAAACAGAGTGCACTAGCAATTTCAGCAACCATTCGTGCTCGGGTATTCCATGTCAACGGGGAATTGTTGCTTTTTCGGAATAGGTAGTCTTGAAGTGTTCCATTGGGGAGGTACTCATATACAATTGACCAGGCTTCAGGGCAAAAACCAAGCAAAGTGATCAAATGAGGGTGCTGGAGACTACCGAGAACTTGAACCTGTACACCAAAAGATAACATCAGAGGAATCTAACAAACACAGAAAAAACAAGTGAGGATAACAGAATATATTTCCATTATTAATGTGGTAAAAGCAAAATATACATACATACACACACACATATATATGCCTCAAAATCACGTTTCCACCTCCAATCCTCTCAAGCCATGCCCATCCTAAATTTTAAGACAACAATTTCAAAGGCAGAAAGAGCCTTATGGGGCGGGGGGGGGGGGGACGCGCCCTCT